GTAGTAGTAGTAGTAGTAGTAGTAGTAGTAGTAGTAGTAGTGGTAGTGGCAGTACTTTAGTAGTCGTAGTAGTCATAGTAGTAGTGCTCGTTCTTGTTGCTGTAGAAATAGTTGCAGAAGTCGTAATAGTTTAGCGCTAATCGTCATCAGGACTTATCCAGTACTCGTAGTGCCACCAGTACCAGTAGAGTCGTATTGCTACTGGTACTGATCGTCGTCGAAGGAACATTCACACGAACTCACCCGAACCATGCGGGAACCGAAAACACCATTCTACTTCAGTTTTTTTGACCGCTAACACGGCGGGAGCAGAAAACACCTGTACGGGAACGGAAAACACTGCTGGACACAGAAAACGTAAAGCTGGAAAGCGGTAACATTTCAACCCCACAGGCGGGAACAGAAAACACCATTCCGGGAAAGGAAGTGCCACAGGAACAAAAAACAGCATATTGGGAACAAAAAACCCGCAGCCTGTCTCTTTGCTCCCTTCAACACTTAAACGTCTTCCTGGGCAGTCTTGAAGCCGATGGTTGTCTCCAAGGCTCTTGTCCACTTGGTAGTACGTACTTCTTCGGAGGTAGGCTCACATTTGAACCGCTGTCCAGAATGATGGTCTCATAGTCTTTACTTTTTTCCTCAAGGATGTCGGGATGTCTTCCAACACCACTTGAACTCATCAATCTCGTTGTCCATGAAGACTCATCTCTCCAGCAATGAAGTGTCCATGTGGTGCTTGAACCATTTGCGGGTTCATCGTCCTCCAAGATGTAAAGTTGTTGAGGAATCGAAGGGTTTTGAAGCCGCGAATTCGTCGTCCATGACGGACTGTCCTCTCTGGATCATGTTCACCTGTATTTCAGCCTCTGAGCATCGGTCGTAGACTCGTCGGACTGTCGACTGCGTTGAGTGAGGGAACACAATAATGCTGTGTTGATCCGCTGCCAACTGAACCTCCACCATGAGATTCGTGTTGAGGTACATGTGGTTGCTGTTGCTGTTGTTGCACGTGGTTCACTTTCTGTGGGCAGTCATTAGCCCAATGTCCTGGCCGGCCGCAAAGCAGGCACGCATTGCTGCTGTTATAGTTCTGGTTGTAGCCGCTATTGATTTTGTAGCCGTTGTTCTTTCTTTTGCAACCTTCTTATCTCTGCCTTTCTTACCTGTGCTCTTCCTTTTGCTTTTGCTGCCTTTGCCTTCTGACTTTGCCACGTTCTTTGCAGCTGCATCCACGGCCACCAAATGACCAAGCGATTTGCCACCAGCTGCCTTTTTACTTTGGCCTTTCCTTTGCCTTTACGTTTGTGTGGCAACTCTGTGGACCTCCATAGAAGTCGGTCCATTGTCTTCGCTTCCTCGTCCGGTTTCTCGCTCCAGTTGCTTGAGGATCTCTCTGCCCGGTTTCTCGCTCTCTGGGCCACCGAAGCTTCGAGAAAAGATCGGCGGTGTTCTTTTTCAGCGTCGCTGAGGTGATCCTCGCAGGTGCTGCTGGAAGCTCAGCTTTTTGGATCAGTTTCTCGGCTTGAGAAGCATCCTTTTCTGCTTTAAGCCAGCTGTTCGAACTGAAGGATGTTCTCCAAACATGGAAACCTTGGGATTGAAGTTGGGATACTGGCCAAGAGTTTGGGCTGAGGCCAAAGATCTCTATCTTGTGGCTGGCAAGAACTCTTTGCACATCTGAAACCAACACCTGAAGCCGTCCTTGGGAAGGTGCTCTGACCAACTGCAAGCACCTTCCTCGAGGATATGAACTAAGCACTGGAAAAAACTTGGTTGCTATGGCTGTTTGCTGGGGTATGACCTACGGTCACATTCCAAGCTGTTCTGCTCTGTCTTTGCAGAAAGTCCTGTGAACTGTTCGAATCTCCGAATCTCCAAAGCTCGGCCATGTTTCAAATTGCAACTTCCAGCTTGGAAACAAAAGCGGTTCCTCTCCAGAAAACGTGTCAGGATTCTTCAGGATTTTGGTTGCTGACTCCAACCCTTGTTCTGTCGAGCTTGAGGCGCTTGCAAAAGCCCTAGTCACTTCTGTCGCTGCCTGTGCTGCGTTGTTTGTGTGATGTGAGATGCAGCAATTGCTGCGAAGACCCATGACAGCTGAAGTCAGCATGGTGGGAAGCGTCTTCAGATCTGCGTCCTTTTCTTCACCATTCAACTCAGTTGTGGCTCTTTCTTCTTTCTCTCTCTCTCTCTCTCCTCATCTCTCTACCCTTTCACCAAAATATCTTCAACCAAACTGCTCTCAAAACAGACGCGCCTTCCAGCCATATCATCAAGCGTCCTCTTCTAAGCCATATCTTCTGTCGTTCTTCTCGCCACTTGTCCTAGATGGCGAGGCCCATGCACATAGTCTTGAAGACACAGAGGTCCATGAGGTTCCATCCAAAGCGCATAGGTCTTGTAGAGCTCGCGACCAGGGGTGCTCCACTTCAGATGAGGTAGTGGTCCTGCATAGTCCGTCATTCGCTCTCGTTTGCCAAGCGCATAGTCTCGACGTCGAAGTTCTGGAGGCAGTCCATTTTGCGCTACGACCCTTCTTTCCATGCGCGACGGCTTTCTTTCCGTGTCCTGCTCCGTGTCATTCTGGCTGATGACTTTCGTTTTTCTCTCTTTCTCTGGTGAGTTGGATGCACCACCTTGTCCACTTTGAGACCTCCCAAAGCTGAGCACCACTGCTTCTTCCAGTTGAGGCTCAAACCCTACTGTCACCTCTGCTTCATTCGTCAATTCGTCTTGGCTCCTGTCGCCAAGTTCTGCAGGACTCCTTTTTTCTCTCCCCCGGGCTCTCTCTCTCTCTCTCTCTCGCTCGCTCGCTCGCTCGCTCGCTCTCTTTCCTTCGAGCTCCAAAGCTCCAAAGTGGCGCTTCCATGCAAGTCCAACTTGCACTCTGTTTCATCCTTTGCGTTTCGTTCATTTTTGCCTCACTCTGCGCCCAAGACCTGCTTCTCCAAGTGCTTCTCGTCGGAGTGCTTGTGGAAGCTGTCGATGATGAGGATCTGCGGCGTGGACGCCGCGGTACTCCACGTGATCTGCTCTTCTATGGTGTCGAGGATGTTGTGCTCTCTAAGCTGTTGTCCTCCGACCTTCATGGAATTGGGCTCCACAAGGTTGTAGTCTCTCCATGACCGGGAATGGAGCAACCTGGAATCTCCTCATCTCTTCCATCTCGGCCATAATGGCACCAGCCAAAAGCGCTACAGCCCTCATGACTGCAGCGTACCTGCAGTCAATCCTCGGGCTCCGCTACCATGTCAAAGCATGGAATTGGGCGCTTTTTTGGAGATTGCAAAAGCCACTTCAAGTGCAAACCTGTTGTGTTCATGTACGATCAAGCATGAGCGATTCCAACACAACTGCACCTGCGACAAGTGCCTGTCATCAGGGGTGGATATTGTAAGGTTTGTATGTTGTGTATGCTAAAGACGGTTTGTTGGGCCCCAGTCTGTTAGATATGCCAATCGAACGCAATCGAATTTCATGAGGCTTGGATGTTGTACGTTTTCCTGTGATAAGAACGCTTCATGTCTCCAAACATGTTTGCTAATGAATGTTTCGAGCTTACTGTAGTTTGTGGCAACGGTGTACTTTAGATTGGCTCTCACTGCCAAACTCCAATTCGGAGTTTATGACTGTAGTTTCTGACTGTGGTTTGGACTCTGTTGAACACAGTTGATTCTTCGTGTATTTCTAGTCGAGGCAGAAAGGGTTCTACTTTTTTGGTTCCTTCCTTCCGGCAAATTTTGTGAAGTAGTTCTTTTCCGTGGGGACTGCTGGTACCAGCAGCAGCAGTGAGACTCTTGTGAACCTTTTCTGTTGACTTTTCTTTGGGCCTTGAACGTTTCTTTCTTTCGCCTGTGGCATGTGGATATCAAGCGGATTCGGCAAGACACCAACCGAAGCTCACAGACCTGTCGCCGAAGCTGTATGGGCGGAAGGGTCTAAAGCACCCGGTCGTTAAACGCAAAAACGATAAGGCATGACAAACATTCAAGCAACAGGACACAACAGTTCTGCAAACCTAAAGACGTCAAGACTACCTGTCAGTGCAGAATTGTGTGGGGTTTGCCTTTAAGGCGCTTGGAACTCCCAGCCATGCATGAAGACATGGTTCGGAAGACCTCGCAAGCTGTGATCCTTCAGCAGCTCATTCTATCTCGGCGCCTCTTCAGCGAAGAGAACATCAACCTGGAGCTGACGTAGCAACCCTGTCCTGCTTGAAGCCAGAGGGAACGGCCATTGGCCCATTGGCCCCTCCGGCCATCATGTCGGAGATCGCGAAGGATGTCATGAGGCCGCTGGCGGCCTCCTGACGAATGTGAACGAACAGACGAAATATGACAAGATCATGTTTTTCTCTGTTTCGAAGAGCGATGGCCTCCAACCTAGTAGCGATGGACACCAACCACAAAAGGCTTCAGCTGGGATGAAATGGCAGAATGCTCCTGTGGAGATTCGTGGAACGAGGCACAACCTTTGCAAGACAGGCAAACGTCATGGGTTTGGGTTTCATTTCTTCTAAGCTTTTTGAAGGCGCAGACCAGGAGACGGAGACAAAAGCTGACCAGGAGATGGAGACAGCGAGGGCTCGCACTTGGCGAGGTCCGCGGAACTGCCTTTGGAATCTAAAAGTCTTCATACGCCACACGACATGTGGATCATACGCCACGCGTGTGGGGATAAACTTGCATCTCATCAAGATGCACGCACCAAGTCATCGCAGTTCGCGCGCTCTCTCCTCCTCTCTCTCCCTTTTTCGAGCACCTGCATGGCGCAAAACACCTGCGCAGCGGCGCAGCCTGCGCAGCCTCTCCGGCGCTGCACAGTCGTGCTGCAGGTCGAAGCACCTCTCCGGTTCGGTGGTCCTCTCATGACGACCGGAGACGCCGCGGCCGTCGTCCCGTGGGCGTGTGCGGAGAGGCGTTGGGCGTTGAGCGTCGCTGGGACCGCTTTCGGAGACACCTCCCTGCTTGAAGCAGCTTGCACGCAGCAAGGCTGGCGCAGCCGGACTCAGGTGGAAGGGCAGCCGTGACCATCTGGACAGCTCCGTGACCATCGTGAGAAAGGCCGGAAGAAGGCGGGTGTTTGGTTCTTGGTTGCAGTTTCATCGTTTCATTGGAGCAAGGTGTTCGACCACGTGTCCGGGGGGGGTGTCCTCTACATGAACTTCCATCCGCATCTGGGGACTGAGATTGATGATGTGACACACATCACCCTGCGCCTTGACGCGGCTGTGCGTGCGCACGGTCCTCGCGCCAAGACCTGCGTCAGCCGGGCTGGGGAGGGGACTCCAGCACCCGTTGTGTTGGGGTGTGCAGAGGTGGCCGCCCTGCCGAACGAATGGAGGGTGGTCCTGAGCCACGTTGGGGTATTTGCGCAGAAGACATTGATTGGTGTTTCTGCTTTTCAATCATCATTTTACAAGGTCTTTCAAGTCATTGAAAGTAACGTGTGCTCATATAGATGATGTTGGAACTTATGGACACTCCGAAGCTCTTGCGTGAGCATCAAAAGAAATCGGGTTAAACTTACTGCTTGTTTTGACCGTCTGGCAGCAATGTGTGTTCGCAAAGATGATCTTGGAAGATATGGATGCACCGAAGTTCTTGCCTGAGCATCAAAAGAAATCAGGTTGAAGTTAGTTTGTACATCAAGGTTGCCCGAGACATTTGTGCTTGTGCGAGCAAGTTCATCCAAGTCTCTTGCCAGTGAAGCAGAGTACGTGTGTAAAGAAACAAGGAATGCAATGATGGCTTGGGCCAAGCCAAGCCAAGAACTCCTGCTTCATTGTTTGTGGGCCAGTGCCAAGTCGTCAATACTCTAGCAGCCAGTTTGCAAGTCCGCTACCTTGCGCCACTGACATGGATACAAGCCATTGGCCTACCAGCGCCAAATTGAAGGACATGGTTGAGTGCCAGAAGAAATGTCGTTGAGCTCCATTTGCCAACCAAGACGTCCTAAGACCTTCTTTGTGCCTACTGTAAACCGTGCTGACCTGACCAAGGTTCCTCCTGCGAATCAGGGTACACTTTGCAAGAAGCACTGATGTAATGTACATTTAGTATAGTTGACACATTTGGTTTTGGCTGCTCGACAGACCAAAAGTGCCCAGGCAACAATTGGTTGTTCTTGCGTCAATTGCAACTGTTGGCTGCAAGCAGTGGAGTTGCCAAGGTCAGCGCGCAAACCCCACGGATCTGGCTGAACGTGAGATCAAAATGGTCTCGAATTGACCGAAATCGTTGCGCTTCGTGTTAACCAAGGCTTGCCAGGAACCATGTGAGTACGTTGAACATGAATTACAACCATTCCACATTTTGCCTTAACGACGTGCATCGTTGGGAAGACAAATCGCAAGATGCTGCGCGCGTTTGTCCTGCTGTTGATTGAGTCCCTGCTGCAGATGGTTCAGGGCCAAGATTTTAAGCTCGTGAGCAATTGCAAGTGCAAGCGGCTGCATAGATTTTGTAAAAGGATACCGGATAAGCTTTAAACTTTAAGCTCAGTGTTCAGCAAGAGAAGACTCATGCTTCATTGTTTGTGGGGCAGTGAAAAGTCGTCAATACTGTTAAACATGGTATCAGAGATGCACAGTAGCGTTTTTGAAATTTCGCAGGTAGCTCCAGAAGAACTGTCATGAGTTGGGTAATTGTCGCAATTGTGGGCAGTCTTCAAGTCCGCTACCTTGCATCGCTGACGTAGATACAAGCCATTGGCCTACCAGCGCCAAGGACATGGTTGAGTGCCAGAAGAAATGTCGTTGAGCTCCATTTGCCGACCAAGATGTCCTAAGACATTCTTTGTGTCTAAACATGCCTAAACCATGCTGACCTGACCAAGGTTTCACCTGTGAATTAGGACACACTTTGCAAGAAGCGCTGATGTAATGGATTTAGAATAATTGACAATTTTGGTTTCGACTTCTTGACAGGGAGAAGCCAAAAAAAGAAAGAAATTTGCCCAGGGAACAATTGGTTGTTCTTCTGTCAATTGCAGGTGCTGGCTCCAAGCAGTGGAGCTGCTCAGGTCAGCGCGCAACACCAAAAACCTGGCTGAATGTGAGATCAAAATGGTCTCGGCTTGACCGAAATCGTTTCGCTCGGTGTTGACCAAGGCTTGCCAGAAACCGTGTGAGTACGCTGAACATGAATTACAATCCCAGCTTTCCACCACATACCTTCAAAGACAAGTCGCAAGATGTTGCGTTCCTTTGTCCTGCTGCTGGTTGAGTGTGTGCTGCACATGTTGATTTTGGCCAAGACGCGAAGCTCGTGCGCACTTTCAAGTTGCAAGTGTCTGCGGGCATTTTGTCACAAGGAGACGTGTCCAAGGAAGGCGCATCCATATCCCATGCTTAGTGCTTCATGACACGAACCATGCGCACCTTGTTTGTGAGGTGCAACGCCTGTCCTTCTTTGTCCTTTCATTGGTTGTGCTATTTACAGATCGTTTTTCAATCTTTTCCTCTCCAGTTCTGGCAAGTTGCAAGCCATAGACATAGAATATGACACTGACGTCCCAACCTTTTGTAGTTGAAGGAGTAGGGTGCCAGTGAAGGCCCAGCTGTTCTGTGACAAACGGATTCGGCAGGAACCGAAAGAAGATGAGCGCATGTGAATGCTGAACCTGCTGGTAGCTCATGATGGTCATTCAATTGTGACTGTAAGCATGTAGCTGCGCAGCTTCCTCAATGTCCGTGTTTGATTTTGGCGCTCAGATATTTGGAGAAGCCCCGATCCCCAAACCCTGCCGGCCGAAGCACTTCACCGCGTGAAGCGGTCACACCTGAAGCATGGCGGACGAAGCACCGGCGACGAAGCGAGCACGGGGCTTGAAGGCACTGGGCTGGGTACCTGCAAAGCCCGGTGGCAGCCTGTGGCAGGCAGCACCGGTGCAGGCTGCCATCTCTTTCCACGGTTGCTCGCGAGAGTCGATGCATCAACGATTTGTGAGGCGCCTGGTCTTCACGGCGCTTGGTCTTCATGATGATTGTTTGAGGTCTTAAGATTCCTGGTAGCATGTTGCGACTTTGATTGGTTTCTTCGTTCTCCGTTGCCACCTTCTTTGTGCACAAAAGGGAGGCAAAAGAGGGCGAGGGGGATATGTTAGGAATGCCCTTCTAGCAGATGCCCTTCTAGAAAACCTTGTCAGCGCTGTCTCCAGCGATGCCCCGAGTTGCGAAGTGCTTGACACCAATGGGTTTCTACCCATCACCGTCCACATTTGCTCTTGAGCTCAATCATTTGGGGTGAACGGCGGCAACATCGGGCAACACGCGAGCTCCAGCAGAAAATGCGCATTTGGGATCTCCAGGTATTCCCTTGAAGCATTGTAGGTGCTTCCACCACGCCGCAAAGAAAGTAAAGCTGGGGGCCAAGATTTCACTGGTTGGTCCGTTTTCATGCCCAACATAGTGTTCTATTACTAATCCTCTTCCTAGCAAGGCAAACATCACGCTGGAAGAACCACCAGGCACCCAAAGGCACCAATTTTCGCTTCGACGCTCCAGTCCAAAACGGCGCACCTGTGTGTCGCTGCGCCATGTCACCAGCTCCTTTTTACTCGCGACAGCACTCAGCGGATGTCTGACCGAAACACCCTGGTTGTTCAGCCAAGTGTCCCGTGCCTCCGTCGCCTGCGAGTGGCTGAGGTTCCCGTGAACTGCGCCTTGACCCTTCTGACGGAGGAAAACCCCTTAGAGCCGGGGCGATGGCGGGTAGGGCAGAAGTATGGGGCGCGAGCCGACCGGGGTAGGAACCGAACAAGGAACCGCATGGCGGTGGTTTCTGCTTGGAGATGAAGAGCCTAACTTCAGGCAACTTTGCCACGCGTGGTGCCACGCGTGGTGCTGCGTGTGGTGCCATGCGTGCCATGTGTGCAACATGCTGGTCTTTTTGCTTGCTTTTGTTCGGGGTTGCTACAAGCTTCGAATCTGCTGAACAAGCTCAACTCGCTCAACTCACCGCAACGCTCTCATCAAGTCCAAGGACTCCTATCAAAAGTGTGTGTTTAAAGTGCTTCATGGAAAGAACCTAAAGTCAAAGTCAAAGGTTTGGGCAACATTCATTTGAGAATTGTTCCCTAGCTACGGATTCAGAGTAGTAGATGCTTTGCAAGAGTTGACCACTACACAACCGGAGGGAAAGGCAAGTCGGGTCCCTTGCATCAAACAGCTACGATTGTAAAGGTGGTTGTGAAGCAAAGCAGTTGCATTGGGACTGTCGCTATGGATAGACATCGCGCTTAGTCTTGCACCGAGCTTCCAGGTCATTTCGACTCGTATTCTGAGTTTGTAGAGCTGTAGGTTCT